AGAAGACACGCAGGGACCTCTCAACTGCCCTGGCTCCTGGTCCTCTGGCAATCCTCAGTTTGGAAACCATCATGCCCAATTCTGTGCTGCTTCAATATTATACCAACAACGGTCATTAATTCCCCACCATCCCGTCAGAGCTGAAGAAGCGAATGAGAAGCGAAACGTCTTCAAAGAAAAACAAGACGAGTCCAGTTGCCTCCTGAAAAAGCAGCTTTGGGATAACTATCATTAATATATTAGGTGCACCTTGACTCACTTTTGAGACAAAAAATGAGGAATACTGCCCTATCGTTTGATCCCATCCTTTCTAATTTTATCACGAGGTCAACATCTGTTTCTCTTCAAGATATTTGCTCCATAAAATATAGAAATTACAGTGACTCACCCCACAGAGGCTAAGCAGATAGGCAGGTAATTAAATCAACTGACAATATCAACATTTTAATCTTATTCAGACTGGTAGTCTGGATAGAACATTAGCTCAACAGAGAATGAGTCCTATGAACTTTATCCAGCAGGGTTTTTTTTCCATCCGGAGAAGAAGAAGATACGATTCCAACTGTTATTCTGTTATTCTCCTGCCTCTGTTTCCACTGGTTTTAAATCTTTAGCAGATTTAATGAAACAAAACTCAGACATTCTTTTTTTACCTGTTTAGAGACAGAGAGAAGGGATAGATTCCTTGCTTTTAAAAATACATACTTTATTATAATGGATCCGGCTTGGGATATCCATGAGTTTTGTTTTAATAGCGAAAATGACCTGTCTAGTGACAGTGAAGGGATCATTTTGTGCCACCTTCCTATCAACAGATGGGGCAATATCGTTGTGAAAACAAAGGCAAAACCTGGTTCCAGTATTTGAGGGGCTGCCACAAAGAAGAGGGGGTGAACCTATTCTCCAAAGCACCCCAATGTAGGCCAGGAAGCAATGGATGAAAACTAACCATAGAGAGAACTAACCTGGAAATAAGGAGAAATTTCCTAACAGAACAAATAATCAATGGAATGGCTTTCCCCCAGAAGTTGTGGATGCTCCATTAAGTGAGGTTTTCAAGAAGAGAGTGGAAGAGTTTGGACAAAATGGTATAGGGTCACCTGCTTGGGCAAGGGTTGGCTTGGATGACCTTCAAGATCCCTTTCAACTCTGTTATTCTGTTATTTCTGCCTATATCATGTTCTCTCCACACAGGCTGCTTCATGGAACCTGTTTACATCCCGAGCAGGTTCCATCAGTTGCAGTATGGCAAGGGGAAAAGGTGAGTTCTACAGCACTCTCAGAGCTTTCTGTTTTTTTCTCTCCAGGAGGGTTTACAGTGTGAACAAGCAGAGCCAATTTAGTCAAAGGCAGCTAATGATGAAACAAAAGGAGTTGTTCAACTTATTTTATATCTGCCAGAACCCTGGCTGCAGACTGCAATTTTCTGTACAACAGCCCTCGTGCCAGTTCTTCTCATTTGGCCTGCAAGCACCCTGCTGATTTTAATGGATTGGACTTGGAACACCCAGGGTGAACCAGGAAACTCAGCAAGAAAACACCCTGGCAATAAAGCTTTAGATCTAATCAAACTTTGCAGAGGCAATAAATTAGCCCTTTAAATATATTAAGCTTTCAGGAGCTATTAACATAAGCATTCATTGCTCATTTATTTTCTGTTAGCTTGGAGCGCTGCCTTATCAAAAGCTTTCATTCTTTCTTCCTTTTTTTTTTAAAAAAAAGATTGATTTTATTAAAAGTTTTTAAAACAAAAAGTAATGCGAACTAATATAAAGTAAGGAAGAAAAAAGAAATCAAAGGGAAAGAAAGAAAGAAAAAAAGATACAGAGAGATGGCTTCTAATCTTCTTTCCAGCAGTTCCAAGTACAATAATAAATTTACCTCTTTCTCTAAAGTCACATTGTGACTCTCTTCTTTCTATAATGTATCCTGTCTAATCATCAAAACCATAAATCGTAAGCTCATTTTTTTTCTAGCTTACACAAAAAAAAAGTCCATAAGAGGTTTCCAGCAATAAATCGAAACTTTGATTTTCTTTAATCAAAGAAGTCAATTTGGCCATCTCAGTAAGTTCCATCATCTTCTCCAATGATTCCTCCTTTGTTGGTAGCTATTGCCAAATCATTCCATCTTCCCAAACACTCCATTTCTGAGTGATTTCTTAATTAGGGGAAGGAGGGACTCCAAGGAGGATTAAACATTGCTCATACTTGGTATACCAAAGAAATGTTTATTCTTTTTCTGGAAAAAATGGCAAAAAGAAAAGAATGAAAGTATGTCCAAAAATTCAAGTATATTGAAAACAAAGGGGATTTATTTCCAGGTCTGTTTCCCTGTGAGCTCGCTTGGAACATGGGTTTAGCACTTTTTCAAAAGACTGCTAGACTCATGTTTAAAAATAGCCCAACTGATCACAGGTGTGAAGGAAGAGTGTCCAAGCAGCAGCATCAGAGAGACCCCTTACGACTTTGTTATCATCCATGTGACTTATTCACAGGTGGATAAATCTTGTTGCTTAACCTGTCATTGTAAGCACCCGCCTACCTTCACCCAACCCAACCCTGCTTGGGATGGGCAGAACAATTGGCGATTATTTTCCTGCCAGCAGGTGGCAAAAGGAACAAAACTGGGGAAAAAATCCACCTTGTCTCTTCTTTAACTTCTTTAACTTTAGTGTGCCATCACAGTGAGCACATAATGCTGCATGGTTAGAATGCAGTATTGCAGGCTAACTCTACCGACTGCCAGCAGTTTGAGTCTCATCAGCTCAACACTGACTCAGCCTTCCTTCTGAGTTCGGTAAAATGAGGAGCTAGATTGTATTTATTTATTTATTTATGAGACTTATATACCGCTTTAAGTGCAAGCACTCTCTAAGCAGTGTACACCAGTAAGCAATGTATATATATATATTTACATTGCCCCCAGCAATCTGGGTCCTCATTTTACCTACCCCGGAAGGATGGAAGGCTGAGTCAACCTTGAGCTGGTGAGATTTGAACCGCTGACCTGCTGAACACAGTCAGCTAAAGTGGCCTGCAGTACTGCACTCTAACTGCTGCGCCACCTCGGCTGTTGGGGGCAACAGGTTGACTCCCTAAACCGCTTAGAGAGGGCTTTAAAAGCACTATGAAGCGGTATATAATTCTAAGGGGGAGAGAGTGAGTGAGCAAACAGGGGACTTTGTTACCATACCTCGAGCACAAGTACCAATTACAGGTAATCCTTGACTTGCAACCACAACTGAACTCAGCATTTCCATGGCTAAGCAACTGTTAAGTGAGTTTTGTCCCATTTTATTACTTTCCTTGCCATGGTCATTAAGAGAATCCCTGCAGTTTCTGTTAGTAACACAGTTGTTAAGTGAATCTGGCCTCCCCTTTGACTTTGCTCATCAGATGATCACATGACCCTGGGACGCTGGTAACTATCATGAATAGGTGCCGCGCATCCAAATTTTATCACTTTGACCATAAGAATGCTGCAACAGTCATTAAGTGTGAGAAATACTCATAAGTCACTTGTTTCAGTGCCATTGCAATCTCCAACAATCACTAAACCAATGGTTGCAAATCAAGAACTACCCCTACAATGCTTGACAAGGGGAAAATGGAGTTATAGTACCAGAGTATTAGATACTTAGCACCACAATCAGGATCTATCCCAATGATGGCGAACCTTTTAGAGACCAAGTGCCCCAAAACTGGCCACGCCTCTGCTCCGCCCCCCCCATCCCCCACCCTGCCTGCCCACAGGGCCACTCACCACCTCCAGGGCCCACCGCAGATCACCCAGGCAGCCCAGCAGCGCTATGGCAGTCATGCCTTCTGCCCACGCCCTGCAGCATCAACTGTGCATGGTGGGGTGTGAGGGCAGAGTCTTGTCTACGCCGTCCGGCTGCCATGTCTTTGGCTGCACTGCTCTGCGTAGGCCACGCTCAGGGGCGACTCTCCTTCAGGGGGTCTGCTGGAGAGGAGGGGGGCACGGGGGGAGGCGAGGCTGGAGCAACAGCACATGTGCCTACAGACAGGGCTTCGAGTGCCACCTCTGGCATCCATGCCATAGGTTCACCACCATTGATCTATCCTATGATGGATGGCTAGAAAAATAAGATCCCATTCTGGAAGGCCAGACCCACCACAAAGCCCCTTCCTCGGTGTTCTCAATTTGAATCCAAGTTTCCAATGATTTTAAATGCTTTCTAGCTAGAAGTCGCTCATGGTTTTCCAAGGACAGGAATGGTTTGCAAGGTTAAGCTGGATATGATGGCTCAACAGTGGATGATTATCCCTGTATCGTGAGATGGTGATTTTTTACTTTTCTTTTCTGAGAAGGATCAGCTGTGATTCGCTGCAATAACTTTGCAGCTGCTTCCCTTGGAGAATTCTTCCAAAGGCTCACTCACATCCCATCCCATTTGTTGAAGCATCCTTGCATTTCGATCTAAGGAAGATGTACTTCATCTAGAATGTACACCAAGCGCCGAGACCTAACAGGAAGGATTTCTGGGAATTTTAACTTTCACAACCCAGAAGAACCTCATTGGCCTCAAGTCAGGGGTGGATAGGACACCAGCAAATATCAAATATCTCCCAAGCCTGTTTTTGGCCCATCAAACCTTCTGACCATTGTTGCTGAAAATGGCCATCATGAGGTCCTATCATTTAAAGGTAGAAAAGAAAATACAGAAAGATAAGGTAAGTATTGCACATTATAAACACAGAGGACTATCCTGCAAAGGTCTTTCCCAAGACCTGGAAAATGGAAAATCCTAGTTCTGTCCATATGCATGTGAAGACCACCCCACCTCCCACCTCTTTGCAACATTGCCTCTCTCATTATAGCTACCTCCCCATATTAAAATTCCCCCACATCTGTTCTGTTACTTGTAGCTCCAGTCCTTAATGGCTGCCAAGCTAAGAAAGATTGGACTGTACAAAAAGATGGCCAGCCAAACAGTTTCTGCAAAAAGGCTAGGAAATCTACAATGAACGCTGAGCCTCAGATGACCCATTTGGTCTGCATTTATTGCAATCTCATTGCCCCACATGAAATTCAAGGTGATGGGTATGCATTCTAGGGAGGCTGATACAGAAGGTAAAGCAGCTTTTTTTATGATGAGTGTCTAAAGGAAATGTAAGTGTGGATAGTGATTGCATCTACTCAATAATACATTTTTTTTCAATGTACACATAATGCTACAGCTACAGGTCCCACGATTATCAGGAAGATGTATTCATACACAAGTTGCAGGCTGGGTACAAAACAAGTCCGTAGAAGTGCAAGAGAACATCACAGGAGGAAATGAGAAGATTCAGGTCTGGCTCTGGACCCATCCATGTCCATTTTTCCTACAAGTGGACCAGACAGTATGGCTTTTTGATATTTAAGACAACAGGAAGAAAGCAGCCGGGACCTCAAGCTCATTGAACAGATGCCAGAGAATACTGAACATGCATCAGCTGGACAGTATGTAACGGAGTCTTATCTAGGTATTATTATGGTTATGATGGTCTTTGACCATAATAAAAAATTTGATTGATGTCATTACAGTAAGAGGCCCAGCGTTTTGGTTTGCTTGTTTTCATTTTTATGGCATTTCTCTGAGGATGGCTTTTTTTCCCCACCTGATAACAAAGAGAACATCAGCAGGAAGTCTTCCGCAAACTGCCTACAAAACAGGATGTAAGTATTTTGAGAGGTCTTTGGATCCTGGTGAGGAAGAACACTCCTGAAAAGCATCAAGAGGTCCACTCTCTCTTCTCAGAATTGTCCTGGCCTCCTTGGCAACAGCCCAAAGCATCAGTCAAAACTCCACATTCCCAATTGTGAATCACATGTCTTCAGGCCATCCATAATGACCACGTGTGTCTTTTCTTGGCCTCAGGGGCAATCACAGTCTCTTGCCATCTCCATCCAGGGACAGTGTGTGTGTGTGTGTGTGTGTGTGTCTTGACACCTGCAATATGTCTTTGCCCTACACGCCAATGTTGATTTCCCTCCATGCCTCCTAAAATTGATCATGGCGTGGAACACTTGAGAACAAGACAGCCTAAGCAATGTCAGAATTACAGTCTTTTTCCTCCTGAAAAATCTTCTTTTCCTCTAGCTGATGATGCATTTTCAGTCTGTACTACAAAGAAGCTTTTAGTGGCTGCAATTCTGAAAGGATGGGAATGACCGTTCCCCAATCTGTACTTTGCACTAACTTCAGTTAAATAGACATCTATCAATAATTCAACTATTGCCATGCATTTATATGGCTATAGTGCACAGCATCCCAATAGTTCTATATTTTCTACATTGATGAGTTAAATCCTTGCCCCTCTTCATGGGGTAGAGGAAGGACATATTTGGTTCTGGAAAGCAACATACAGATGGAAGCCAGTTCAATCAAAGACAGCAGCATAATCCCTCATTTTGTAGAAATATTGCCCAGTAGAATACTACAATACTGTCCAATGGGTTAAATTAACATTAGCAGCACTTTCTCTTACTACGTTAGGCTCCATTACAGAAATTAAAATATCCATGGGGAAAACTGGAAGCATTCTGCTTTGTTTTAGACCATCAATGAGAATGAAATGGGTTGTTTATTCAGAGTGAGTGTGTTTGTGTGTGTGCGTTTACATGCATACTTCAGAACAATATGTGTATTTGTTTGCATGTGCATATATATAATATATATAATGCAAATATAGGCCAGACTTTTTCAAACTGAATAGAAAATCTAAATGACCTGAGAAAAACATTGGGCTAAATGGCCATTGATTCCTCCAATTCCATAAAAAAAGAAAGGGATTTGTTTATTCTGAGGCGACAGGAGAAGAGACTGAGCATATGGGCAGGGTGGCTTTAGGATCCTTCAATAAGGCTCTGCCTTCGACCAAATGTGGAGCTGAGGGCTGACATTTCTCCAAAAGAATTATCTGAACCTTTGATGGGGGAGTGCAATGCTTCTCAGCTTTGGCAACTTGAAGATTGTGTGGACTTCCATTCCCAGAATTGAGTTTGGAGAGTTGAAGACCACACATCTTGATGTGCCAAAGCTGAGAAGCACTGGACTAGTGGTTCAACTGCATGTCTAGCATCTGGAGCATTCAGGTTCAAATTTCTTCTCCATGGAAATGCTTGCGGAGACCTGAGGTCAGTGAGTCTACCTAAGCCCAACCTAAAAAAAGAATTGTTGGGGTTTTTTTGTGGGGAAAAATTGGAAGGAGTGTTATGTATTCTACCTTGCTCTTGAAGAAAGGAGAGGATGATGGATGATGGATGGAGATAGATAGAGAGATAGAGATAGATAGATAGATAGAGAGAGAGAGAGAGAGAGAGAGAGAGATGGATAAGATAGATAGATAGATAGATAGATAGATAGATAGATAGATAGATAGATAGATAGTGAGAGAGAGATGAGCAATGATGGATAAGATAAGCTAGCTAGTTTTGTGGAAAACTGTAGAAATACAGATATCAAGCTATCTGTATTGATGTCTATCTTGATGTTTATACATTCCTTTTAATGTATGAATTTCTCCAAGTAGGCTGTGATGGCTATTGATTAGAACTTTGCACATATTTGTCAGATAAGGGGTGTATCATGTATTTTGCCTGGCTGCGTGGGCTCCACCATCACTACACAATAATCCTAGAATTAAGGATTCAACCTTCCTTCAGTAGAAGGTCTCTTCTTCTCCCCCTTTTCCCACAAAATATGAGGTATTGGCAGAGAAATATTGGTAGACGTTTTGATTTTCTTCTAAACAGGTCTCTTCACCGTTGACTGGTATTGTGTTTCATCCTCAAGCTGCTCACATCAGGACTTGGTCCCGTGTGTCTGGCAGCTGCAGGGCTAGGAGGCCTCCACCAACTAGAGCAGAAGAAGCCAGAAGAATGGGGATCACTTTGGTGATCCCAACAAAAGAGGCAAAGATGGAGTTTCCCAAGATGGCCCCAACTTTACAGACACCGGTGAGTATCCCAAAGGCTGTGGCTCTAGATAAGAAGGACAGAAAATCATAGAAAGGTTTCAGAATTCAAAAGCCAGAGATCCAAGACTCAATTCCTTTAACATATGAACATTTCAATTCCTTTAAATATTTATAATAATCATCTCACCTTCACCTGCATATAACTGGGCACGTCAAGGAAGCCAGAACTAACTATCCAGATTTCAATAGGCATCTTGTGTCAAACATGGAATTCTGAAATCTGCAAAAGGGATTTCCTAACCTCGTTTATGGGGAATTCATTATAGTAGAGCGATATCTTTGAAACTCTTTGAAACATTTTGTGCAGAGGCAGGAACAGCAGAAGAGAAATAGAAATTCCTTTCTGGACAATAAAGTAGATGTGAGAAAGGGGAAGTTGGCTAGATTACTCAGAGGAGCTTTCAAGCAATACATTTTTTGCATAATTCGAATAATAATATACAAGCTACTGGGACCCTGAAACTAGGATTCTCCAGAAAAGAGGTCAGCGAAAATGAATCACCTTTTATGCGTGGGATACAGCTCTACCGTGATGACGTTCAAGGCATTCCAAGCTGCGATGCTCGTGCCACAAAAGAGACACTGCCATCCAATCATGGCTGACTCGCTATGACCAAAGAACAAGAAGAAACAACACACTGCAGAGATCAGCATGGACCCCCCTGCAAGAGAAGGCAAGAAGGAGGGGAGAAATATCAGCTTTGTCAAGATGGCATCCGGAAGTAGGCAATTAAAGGCTCATCCTTTTAAAATGTAGTGTACAAAGGGCAGGGGTTTAATTGCATTAGGGCTTCTTTGATGCAACTGCAGACACTTCCTGTTGGGTCTGTCCTAAATGAACAGAACCTGGATGCCCTTTCTGGATCAGACGACTTCAAAGCAAAGAAACTGGGATGAAAGTTCATCTAGAAACATAGAAAACTGACAGCACAAAAAGACTTAGTTTTCCGTTGAGAGTTTGGTTTTGGTTTCTTTTTAATGTATTATTTTTTTAATATATTTTTTATTTTATTTTTTTTGTTGTTGTTGGATGATGGATATGTGTTTATGCCATGTTTAAACTCAGTTACTGATGATTGACCCACCACCTTCTCTGGAGGTTGGTTCCAAGCGTCTACTACTCTTTCTGTAAAGTAATACTTTCTGACATTGCTTTTGAAGTTCCTGTTGGTTTGAAGTTATGCCCCTGTGTTCTTCTTAATATCTAAAGGTAAAGGTTTCCCTGTCCAGCACCCTCCAGGGCAGGGTGTTCATCTGTTTCTTGGCCAACGGAACCAGCATTGTCCAAAGACATTTTCTGTGGTCCTACAGCCAGCACGGCTATGTGTCAAAGATTGCATGGAATGCTCTTACCTTCCCACCAAAGTGGTACCTGTTTTTATCTGCTTTCATGCTTTTGAACTGCTAGGTGGACAGGAGCTGCGGTGAGGACAGGAGCTCAGCCTATTGCGCAGAGCTCAGATCTCAAACCCGGGCTGACAAGCTCAGTGTCTAACCATTTAATAATTTTTTATTTTTCCAAACTCTCCCCCATACATATACTGTGATATTTATCAGATGTTAACATACATTCTTTTTACATTCATATATAAGATACTTTTAATAAAATGAAATAAATACATACACGTGACTTTTGGTGTTGCTCGGCCATTTCCCCTTTCACTGTATCCACACTCCTTCTTCTCTACCTTCTTTCTCCCTTTCTTCTCTTCCCTACTTCCCTCCGTGTGTAACTATTGAACCATTCTGCCCCCTTGCTTAATATCTACCAAGCAGGAAATAGTCTTGGGGAAGATGATCATGCCAGGAAGACAAATATACAGCTCCGCTTTCTTAGGAATGCGCCCTTTTTTTCCTCCACAGGGAAAGGATTTTGCATTGTTTGTTGATTATTTCAGAAAAGCAGGGAGAAGTCTTTAGATATACAACCCCCACCCCTTATTTGGAACCTGAACAGTCCCAGGAGGCTCTCTATTGCATGCCACCTCTGCGTGCCTGGCTCTCCAACCAAGACATGGCAGTCATCACACAAAAGGACGACCAAGTCCACCCTTCCCCTTTGTTACCATGCATCCCCCACTCACCGATCATCTTGATCCTTCCCAATTTGTCCATCAGCAGAGCTGAGATGATATTACCAGGCAAGATAGACAGATTTCCCAAGAAGCTGACCAGGTAAATAAGGAAGTCATTGTCCTCCTCAAAATCCAGCTGGCAACCTCCCTTCTCCCCAAAGTCAGAGATGTTCACAAATTCGCAGTCTATGAATTTATGCTTGTAGAGATCTGTGAAAAGGAAACCATGAATGACCATCGCTGGAAAGCTTTCAAAGCAAGTGAGAAATCTGCAGTGGCTCAGAGTGCTGGGCAACAGCCTCTCACTGTGAGGGTAAGAATTATTGGGGTGACTTTTAGTGCACGTCTCCCATGAGGGACACAAGCTTCTGAGAGAATTTTAATGAATGAGGGAATCGTGCAAGTGACCTTCCATGAGGTCATATGGGGTCTGGTAAACAAGGCCTCCAAAATTCTTCAGAAGTTTGTAATCTTTACACAGTTTCACTATCTGGCCCATAATGCAGTGTATTTAAAAAGATCACTGGGCCCAGAGCTTCATAAATCCCCAATCTAGAAGCCTAAAGTGGCGCAGCAGTTAGAGTGCAGTACTGCAGGCCACTTTAGCTGACTCTGTTCAGCAGGTCAGTGGTTCAAATCTCACCGGCTCAAGGTTGACTTAGCCTTCCATCCTTCCGGGGTAGGTAAAATGAGGACCCAGATTGTTGGGGGCAATGTAAATATATATATATATTGCTTACTGGTGTACACCGCTTAGAGAGTGCTTGCACTTAAAGTGGTATATAAGTCTCATAAATAAATAAATCTATACATTATTCTGAGAAGGGATATCAGAAATCGTCATGGGATGACTGCAGGGAGGTTTCAGTCCAGGCCAAGTTGGCGGTCATGGGTTCACAGTTCCAGCCTCACCCATGCGCATGTGGCTTTAATGCTGCTTTGCAAAAAGAACAAGGCTTAGATTGTGTTGTTGAAACTGTCTGATGGCCCTTTGAATACTGCCAAATCAAACCGTTAGCATGAAAAATCACAAATAATGGCAGTCTTTCCATCCTCCAAAAAAAAAAAAAAGCGAATGTTTGAAGCTTAGTCCAGCCATGTCTGCAGAGTTTCGTCAAAATATTCAGCATGGCAGCTATGATGTTGTTGTTGTTAATTGCGAAGTCGTGTCCGACCCATCGCGACCCCATGGACAACGTTCCTCCAGGTCTTCCTGTCCTCTACCATCTTCTGGAGTCCATTTAAGTTCACACCTACTGCTTCAGGGACTCCATCCAGCCACCTCATTCTCTGTCGTCCCATTCTTCTATTGCCCTCCATCTTTCCCAGCATTGGCAGCTATGATGGTGTGATCCAAATTCAGTTAAATTATGGTTGCAGGTAGATCTTGGATTCCACCACTGAGCTCAGTGGTGCAACCCAAGTGCTGCATCATGACTGCTGTGTTGAATATTTTGACTAAACTCTGCAGTCACCCCTGAACTAAATTCCAAACATTCCTTTTTCTTTCTTTTGAAGGAATGGGATGGGATGGGATGGGATGGGATGGGATGGGATGGGATGGGATGGGATGGGATGGGATGGGATAGGATAGGATAGGAAAGGAAGGATCTTGGAGATCTTCTAGTCCAGCCTCTGCTCAAGCAGGAGAACCTATATATTTCAGATAAGTGACTGTCTAACCTCTTCTTAAAAGCCCCCAGTGATGAAGTACCCAGGATTTCTGAAGGCAAGCTGTTTCACTGGTTAATTGTCCTCACAGTTAGGAAGTTTCTGCTGAATTCCAGGTTGCTTCTCTCCTTGGTTAGTTTCCAACCACTGTTTCTTGTCCTGCCCTCTGGTGCTTTGGAGAATAATTTGACCCCCTCCTCTTCTTTGTGGCAGCCCCTCAAATACTGGAATATTGCTATCATGTCCCCCCTAGTCCTCCTTTTCTTTAGACTAGCCAAACCCAAGTCCAACTAGCCAAACCCAAATCCAAGATGGAAAGGCCATGTCATCATTTGTGATCTTCATGCTAACAGTTTGAGGGCAGCCCGCCATCTTGACTATTTTGGACTATACAGTGCAGGCCTTCCACCCTCGTCTCTGTCAGCGATTATTCTCCTTCTGTTGCCTGCAAATTCTGCTCTAAAGTTTTGGCTCTCTGTCTTCTGCTTTTATAGAAATGAAGAGGTCCCCTCCCCAATGTGCAGAAGCATTATGTGCGTGTGTACCCATGTGCTCCTCTACGATACATTACCTGTGTCAGAGAAGTTGGTTTTTATCAGAGTGCACTTTTTGAAGAAGGTCTGGCTGGATGTCACATCTTCAAAATGGCAGTCCTCGAAGAGGGAGTTCTCAAAAGTCACATCGCGCATTTTCATTTGGATGAACCTGAGGATGGATAAGAACTAAGACCTTGCCATCATACCTCATCAGAAGAAAGCTTTTTTTTTTTATCAGCAAAGGATAGGAGATAAGAAATACAACAGGCTATGGATCAATCAATCAATTAATAAATTGATTGAACAGACTACGGAATGCATCCAAGGCACAAAAAGTTAAACCAGCATCTTAAAACTTAGAATGCAACCTTTTGTTTCTTCAAGTTATAGAAACCTGGTAATCAAGGGCATTGTTGTTAGTGAAAAAGTTGGCGGGTTTGGAGGTTAAGGAAAGTCCATCAAGGTTGCTAAGACTTCCTTTAAAGGCTGGGGGTGGGGTGTTGAGGAAATAACTCAAATCATTCCAGAAGAAGCTGCTGTAATGGGAAACCAGGTGATGTTCAAAAGTTCCCAGTTTTGAAATTATTTCAGTCTATGATGACTGTGGCAATATTATTATATGCATAAAGATGGAAAGATTCGATACTACCTATGGAGGAATGGATGGTGAAGTTGACAGATTTTGGTGAAAAGGATAATTTTGTTGATTAGAGTTTATTGTTTATAGTTTATATGTATTAAACATTCTGTGTTTATGGATGACTGGAAGCCTCTTTTGGACTTGGTGAGCGAAAACTGGGGAAAATATTCTCGTGATTTCTGGTTTTAATGATTGGACACTATATAGAAAGAAGAGACTCATGAAATGCAGTCTAACCATGAATTTCAGCAGAAAAGGCTACAGGAACTGCTGTCTCTCATTTTGCCACGAGAGGTCAGAATGCCCCAAATAAAAACCAAAAAGTTCCTTTAAGTTGACATCAGCTCAAAGAAACAGGGAAAGAAAGAAAAAAATCTGACATCCAAAATAAAGATAAATTTCCTTCAAGTTGAGCTTGACTCCTGGTGCCTCCTGGTGTCAGTCCACAAATGACACAATGAGATCCTCTTGAGATCAGATCTTTATGGGCTTACACTTAATAAAAACTAGCCAAACTAAAGATGTAACTATATAACTATATAATTATATGCCTGAGGAATTCTGGAAGTTGAAGTCCACAAGTCATAAAAGGGCCAAGTTTGAAGACCTCTGGGTTAGATCGTTGTCTGGGCTGCAGCTCTTCCTCCCAAGGTCATGTCCACCTTCAAAAGGTATCACTTAATGCAGGGGTGTCAAATTGTTGGCCCGCAGGTCAGACGCGTCATCGCAAAACCGCACCCACTCCATTGCCAGCAATGGCAAAAAAGATCCGATACGTAGCGCGACGTCACGTGACGTCGTGGGTTTGACATGTCTGACTTAATGGAACCAAGTCTCCAATTTGTGGCAACCTTGGGTGGTCGCCTGAAGTGCTAAGCCAGTTCAAACTTAGTTAGCATTTGGGCAGGAGAGTCTGGGCAAAAGGTCAGACAATGAAGGAAGCAATAACGAGCCACTTCTGTATTGACAAGAAACTGTTCATGTAGCCCCGAAAATTGAGTTGAACTAGAAAGATTTTTGTTTCACTTAATCAAATAAAAGGGGAAATGTATTACATCCATGCGGAATAATCATATTAAGTGGAGTTAAAATAATTTAAAGGTCTAATAGCAGCCCTTAACCCCTACACGATCGCTGGCTGCATATCAACCAAATGTGCAATGTATTTCAATAAAGATTTTTCTGGCCATCAATTTTTGTTATCAGTTATATTATTATTTAATATACTGCTCTCTCTTCTATTGGAAGATACCATTTATTAAAATAGCACATCGTGTCTGAAGTGAGTAGGATAAAACCATAATATGGTATGAAGACACACACCCTCTGCAGGGTCTTCTTCTCCCCCCAATTTTAAAAGTGAGGATCTCCCTGTTGATCCTTAATTAAGAGATGGGCTTTCTGGAGCCATTTTCTCAATCTAGAGATAACATGAACTTTCTATGCACAACCCACCAACTCAATCCAGCTCATTTTTCACACTCAAGCCCTCCCTGTGGTTGCAGGGAGGAAGTAATTGAGTAGTAAAAGAGATGGGATGCCTAAGGAAACTCTCTCTTTTTTGTGGGTCCTTTCTAAGTCTTCAACGTCTATATCAGGAGAGTCAAGAATTACTTAGCACCTTGGTTAGTAAGATATGGCTGCTGGGAGAAGTTGGTTTAACCCTGTTCCAGCTGGGATGTGTTTCAGATGAAATCTAACTACTGAGAAGGAATTGATTGGATCAATGAACTTCTTTTAATTGAACCCTCAGTCAATGACTGGAGATGGAAGAGGATTCAGATACAAAGGTGGATCTCCACCTTGTATGACAGGGGTCTTCAAACTTGGCCCTTTTGTGACTTGTGGACTTCAACTCCCAGAATTCCTCAGCCAGGCACGCTGGCTGAGGAATTCTGGGAGTTGAAGTCCACAAGTCATAAAAGGGCCATGTTTGAAGACCCCTGTTGTATGAGTTCCACCACTTGGAATAACTGAGATAACATGGTGTAGCCCTAGAGGTTTAGGGCGATGATCATTAGGGGGCAGTGGTTAGAATGCAGTACTGCGAGCGATTTCTATTGACTGCCTGCTGCCTGCAGTTCGGCAGTTCAATTCTCACCGACTCAAGGTTGACTCAGCCTTCCATCCTTCCGAGGTTGGTAAAATGAGAACCCGGATTGTTGCAGGGGAGGGTGGCAAGATGCTGACCCTGTAAACCACTTGGAGAGGGCTGTAAAGCACTGTGAAGTGGTATATATAAGTCTAAGTGCTATTGCTACCATTGCAGGTTGGGACACTCACCTGTCATTCTTGAATGTCCAATTCAAGTAGTGCTGGTTTCTGAGATTAAAGTCAAAGGTGAAATCCTTCACTACTTCTGGCTCAAAAGTCTTCCTCTCTGACTTATATGCTTCCTCTTGGTAATACCGTATCATATCAGGGAACCAGACAATCAGGCCATAATAACTGCGGAGAAGTTGAAAATATCAGTTGCATTCCTTTTCTTGGTGACCCAAAGAGGTCTCCCACAGTTTTAAAATTGGAAGCAGAAGCTGGCTACTTGCCTAAATTCTGTAAGTTCACTCCCAGTCCCCAAATGTACATAAAAACTTGCTGCCCTGATCTGCGTAGGCATTTTATTTTGTTATTATGGCTAATGGTTCTAAAGTACAACTACATAAAGAAGCTATCCCCCCCCCAAAAAAATCCTCCAAAATATATTGTATATCTGAATCTTCTGTTTTTTATGGTCCCACCCAGTGATGGGATTCAGCCAGTTCGCACCACTTCGGCAGAACCGGTAGCTAATTTTTTGTTGCCCAGGCCCAGAATGGACTTCCGGAAGCGGCATCCACACAGAGAACCGGTAGTTCACATATTTAAATCCCACCACTCCTTCCTTCCTTCCTTCCTTCCTACCTTCCTTCCTTCCTTCCTTCCTTCCTTCCTTCCTTCCTTCCTTCCTTCCTTCCTTCCTTCCTTCCTTCCTTCCTGTGGTGGGATTCAGCCACTTCGCACCACTTGGGCAGAACCAGTAACTAATTTTTTGTTGCCCAGGCCCAGAATGGACTTCTAGAAGTGGCATCCACACAGAGAACCGGTAGTTCACATATTTGAATCCCACCACTGATCCTATCCCTCTACAAAAGTTTGGCTTTCCTTCCTTCCCTTCAATCCCAAAGCGAGACCTCAAGAAGGAACTCCTTGCAAAAGGGCTTATTCGTTGTACTTATTACAGTGCTAGTGGTGCTACAGAAACACTAAGTAGGAGTTGTGCCCTTTAGAGATGGTTGGAGAACTTCTCCTTTCTCTGGATACATGTAGAAAAATCATCTAGTCAATTTTCTTGTCCAGCTGATGCAGAGCAGAATTTTGAGAGATTTCAGTTTTAAAAAATATGCAGGGAGGCATCAGCTAGAGCTGATTTCATAGCTGATATGTTGGACATTCTCACTGCAGATCAAAGAGGAAGGATAATGTTCTACAAATCTAAAAAACAATGCTAAGACACCCACCTCAAGGCCATTGAAAACCAGACAACCGACAGTAATAGTGTGTTCATTCTGTACTGTGCTGTCAGACAATAAACCACATTGTCCATTACCTATAAAATCCAAAAATAAGTAATCACAAAAAATAAGTAACTCTTGGTAAAAGCAGTGGCAATCTCAAATTAATTCAGTGAGATTGATGACCTTAATTTATTCTATAATTTGTTGTGATTTCTTTCATATAACAAAAGGCATCTTCAATTAAGCTATTCATTCAGCTAGGAAAAAATTCTTACGTTTAATCACATTACTCATAGGCTGACAGTTTTCTGTGAACTAATGTTTGTTGGATCACACCTTGTATTAGGATATGATTTGATTTGGTTGATCTTAGTTTAAGGCAATATATGGACCACAGTGACATATTCAACAAATCATGGTTAAACAATTATGACCAAGGAAAATATGCAACTACGTGGTCATAGATCTTCAAAATGCATCCCAGAATAGTTTCATCCCAAGGATTATTCATTGGAAGGAAAGCAGAATAAATTGTTGAATTAGGACATCACAGGTCACTGGTTGGTTTGTTTCCTATAATATACTAGATTGTGACTGAAAGTGTGATAGGAACCTTAGCCATTGTCTTCATGTACTAAATGGGGGGAGAAAGTGGCTTGTTTGTTTCTTAAGCCATAAAATGACTTGTTTGTTTGAACATTGCATGTTACCGGTATGTGTTTTACTAATTCAGTTTGTTGAGTTGTATGGATCCAAACTCTGGATGTGTTTTGCTTAGTTACCCTTATTCCATACCTGTCTGATGATAGTCATGGCTCTAACAAACCAACGTTGGTACCATGTTCCTGTTGAACTCTGTATTTCAATAAATTCATCAACCTGCTTGGGAGTTTTTATCTGAGCTACCTGAAGAAGAAAAAAATGAAGTAGAATTTACAAAACTCATCATCACTAGCTGCCTCTTCAAACGCGGCCTGGTTTGTGTTAGCAACTTCAGGAAGGCATACAGCCCATTCTCATGTCTGCTAATCCCCTGGAAGCCAAAATTGTTTGGGACTACACAAAACAAAATGTTGCCACATTCAATGGGGGTTTCTTCAAGGTAAGTGTATACACCTAACATCTTCTCTGGATCTACTCCATCTTTTAGAAAGGATGAATATGTGGCCAAGATCCTTGGTCTGAAGGAAAGAGGCACGTTTACTTACTTATCTTCTATTCCCTTACAGCATCTCCTACCATCAGGTTTGATTGGGATTTACAAATGATAATTAAAAAAAAAATGGAAGAAACCACTCCAAGAGAGAGTTTGCAGAGCTCATATATGTACACAAAGAACATTGAACAGGAAATGATAATACCTGATACGGCCACTTATTCAGGTTTTGGCTGCCATCATGTAATTTCCCATGTTGGATTGGATGCTCAAAATAATAACAATATTGGTAATAAAAATGCCAAATCTGGTCTGAACATCTGGCTAACTGTGAGACAAACCATAATAAATTTAAAAATATAGGCATTTTAAAAATGGCTAAAATTGAACGAGATTTTGACATTCTCATTGAATACCTGTTAAGATCTGTTGTCGTACCAGAACAAAAAGTATTTATAGGATTTCAGGCAAAAATACCAAAATTTTCTAAGATTTGAGTCATTTTTGTTTTGTTTCTTCTTTTTTGTTTTGTTTTTTCTTTTTAATCTATTTTTATTTATGGGGTGACATCCCAATTTTCCCAGAAAGCCTTTTTTATTCATTACTATTACCATTTATTAGTTATGTGATCCCTCCTCAGTGTGGATGTGAGATCTTCTCAACAGTTACCAGACTGGGAAAAGCAACTATACATACATTTGGCTTGAGGTCTACATTGACATCTCTGGGAAAAGAGATGACCATCTAATTTGGCCTTCCATTAACCTGGTTCTTTCTAGAAATGTTATAACTAGAACACCCATCATCCTCAGCCCAAGGAGTCATTATGAGAATGATAGGAAGCATAGTATAACACATCTGGAGAAGTCTGCTTTAGATTACATGGGGATTACACTTTGGCATAAAGTGCAAGAAGAGACTTGAAGGAAAACAATGTCCACAGTGATGCTGATTTTTTTTTAAGGAGGAGATCTGATTCGGGGCATTTATCAAAAAATGGATTACCCTTTGGCCCAAGTCTGTCTGGGAGAAAGAAGAAATCACTTAGATCCAGCTCACCGTGAATACCCTTTCTGGTTCTCCCTTGGCCCTCATGTTGACATCATGGACTTGCTTAAGGATCATCCACGCTTCGTCATGCTTACCAATCTGGAAAAAACCACAGGAGAGGAAGTCAGAAGTTCCATATTGTACACCAGGGGTCTTCAAACTTGGCCCTTTTATGACTTGTGGACTTCAACGCCCAGAATTCCTCAGCCAGGCACGCTGTTGTTGACTCATCATACATTATGAGCCTTAGCACAGAGTTATTCCCTTTTTACCCTGCCATGCATCTGTATCTTTAGCAGCAAGAGAAAATCCTGCATAACAATCTCTCTTTCTGACATGGAGAAAAGGAGAATTCAGTATACAGAATTTTCTATATTTTCGTAGCTGGAGTAGAGTTTGTCATCCTATTATTTTTAGTCTAGGTTAAGCCCATTTCTGAACTTCTGTCTAACTTTCAGTCTCAAAATAGCAAGGAAGCACATTTCTGCTTTGCACCCTCTTTTTTCAAATCTGTCCCAAAAAAGACAGGAGAGAGGATTCAGAGTGATCCCATGGTTGCCCCCTCTGTGCAACATAAAATACGTTTGTCTCCTTTTCCAGATCAGATTGCTTACCTCTAACAAAAAACGTGGGCTTTCTGGCATGAATTTCAGAGCCACAAGTGACGCTATGCAAGGGAGGGAACAGACCACCACAAAAACCCTCCAGCTGTGGAAGTGGTAATGGGTCCCCATACTGAACCCCCATCCTGTAAGGGAGAAAGAGGACAGGAAGAATAGAATACAATGGATCAGGGCTGGTACAGATGTCAGACATTCCAGGTTGAAGGTTCTGGGAGATGATAGAGAGAGAGAGAGAGAGATGGAGATGGAGGGATGGAAGGATGGAGGGATGATGGATGGATGAATGGATGGATGGATGGATGTAGACAGAAGAGACAGAAAGACACACAGAGAGGGGAAATGGATGGATGGGTGATATTTATTGTAGCAGTGACCAGATAAAACAGAACATATATAAACTAAACAGAACAAAGAAAAAAGAATCTAACAAATCTCTAGCTATATGTGATTCAAGCAAAAAGATGTCCGATCAGCATCAGATTTTTTTTCTTCAGCTTTGCTCACATTGTGTGCATTGTCCAGAGAGCCTTAAATTTAGGAGCTGCTGACCCAGCTCATTATTTTGGTGGACTAATCAAGAAAGCCACAGACCATCATTATTCAGCATTACAGCATCGTCAGAGATCTGTTACATCCCCCTTTGTGAAACAAAGCAGGTTTGGATTGTCTAGAGGTAAGATGACCTGTGGATACTAGGTACATGTATATGCAATAAAATGCACGAATAAATAAAATACTCCAGAATCCACCCAGAACCTCAGAAACAAACACCCCCCCCATTGGCAGATATAATTTGGGATTAAACCTGTAGCATTTCCCCAGTCTGGTCTACTCAATTGGCCTTCTCCATCTAGATTCCTTCCACAAATGGTTGGACTATGATACCTGGTTAAAGAAGGTGGAAAATATCATCATCATCATCATCATCAATCATCCTTTGAGTCAAGCATAACTGATGATTTGATGGATTTGTGTTAACTACAGTATGGAAATGGTCTCTTGTTGTTGTTGTTAATTGCGAAGTCATGTCCGACCCATCGCAACCCCATGGACAATGTTCCTCCAGATCTTCCTGTCCTCTACCATTTTCTGGAGTCCATTTAAGTTCACACCTACTGCTTCAGTGACTCCATCCAGCCACCTCCTTCTCTGTCATCCCCTTCTTCTATTGCCCTCCATCTTTCCCAGCATCAGGCTCTTCTCCAGTGAGTCCTTCCTTCTCATTAGGTGGCCAAAGTACTTGAGTTTCAACTTCTGCCAAATTCTATTACACAGAACATACTGCCTAATATGCATGGAGGGCACCAAGTTAAATAAATATACATTGCAGACTGTTCTGGTTTCCACTAGGTGACTGGAAGAAGGTCATCTCAGTGAAATAAAAGCTGGAGACAAGACACAGAAGCAGGAAAATTCCCTCTAGATCTGGAAACAGTTACCATAATGTGGGATGATACTCCAGGCCATGACCGAGGCGTACAAACCACCAATCATCCAGAACATGCAGAGCCAGCTCAGGTGTTCCCCTCGCTTCTCACGGGCTAGGAATTCAGAGAAATAAGCAAAGACGATGGGCAGGGAACCTCCGATACTGAAGAAAGAAAAGGAGGAAACTGGATGGATAAAATAACTTAGAAACCGTAGAAAGGATTTCATTGTAACATAGTAATATCAACTAGGCCAGGGGTAGGCAACCTTGGCTCTTTTATGACTCGTGGACTTCAACTTCAATTCCTGGCTCAGGAATTCTGGGAGTTGAAGTCCACGAGTCATAAAAGAGCCAAGGTTGCCTACCCCTTAACTAGGCTACCTGTGTGTTCTTTATTTTTTGTCTTTTTGCAAATCTATGTTGGACTTAACAGAATGACAGAGTTGGAAGGGTCCTTGGAAGTCTTCTAGTCCAACCCCCTGCTCAGGCAGGAGACCCTATACCATTCCAGACAAATGATTGTCCAGTCTCTTCTTAAAAACCTCCTGTCAGTGGAACAACATGTCTCCAGAAGTTGGAGCAGCCACAACTTCTGGAGACATGTTGTTCCACTGACTAATTGTTCTCACTGTCAGGAAATTTGGCTTTTTTGGTTTGCTGCCATTGTAACATTGCAAAATTTTACATTGCATTGTAAAACTGCAACATGGTCAGTTGTTGTTCAAAGGAGCTTGCCTGGGAATGAGACGTGTAGGAAGCCAATAGGCTAAGCATTACTATCAAATGTCTCCCTTGGCCTGGAATAAGCTTGTTCTTCTCCAGAGCGTTCAGTACGTACCCGAAACCGGAGATCAGGCGGCAGAAGAGAAAAAAACCGTATTGCTGCACGAAAGAGGAGAGGAACGCAAAGCTGGCATTGATGGAGAGTGATATGATCAGGCACTGCTTCCGGCCCAGCTTGTCTGCTAGGCCACTCCAGAAAAGGGCCCCGACCATCATTCCAAAATAAACAATTATTCCTGTACAACAGAGGGACACAAGACATATTAATCCTGTACTTATTATTCATGTTAGCAGTGGCATCTTTCCAGATTTCCAAAAACGCCCACTTGCCAACTTTGCAGAAAGGATGATGCAGGCACCACCTTCCCCCCAACAAATCAAATCAAATCAACCTTTATTGTCAAAGTACAACATGTGTACAATGCCACCAAGTAGCTCATGCAAAAGGCATCAAGACTCTTCACTCATGAGACATTTGGAAAAAAAGAAAGGGAAACAGTCATCCTCAAGTCCAATGCAGCTCTTGGTGATGGTGACACATCCATACGTTTTCTTGGCTATGAAATAGAAGATGTTTGTCATTGCCTTTTTCTGGAATATTTTCCCCCAGATTTCCTACTCTAACATGGAAGTTAGGATGTCCTGGTGATACCTGCTTAACTTGAGGAAGAGAATCAGCCAGAGTCAATCTAGGTGCTATCCTCTGCTCTAAAAGGAAGGAAGGAAGGAAGGAAGGAAGGAAGGAAGGAAGGAAGGAAGGAAGGAAGGAAGGAAGGAAGGAAGGAAGGAAGGAAGGAAGGAAGGAAGATTATTTATACAGGCTTGGGTGCAAATATAAGTGACCAGGTTTCCACATGTCCTATTAGGCTCTGATTTATTTAACTATGGCTTGCTAAATAAGTGACAATTGATTAGCATCATCAACATTGTGGAAATAAACCCCATGAAACACAATAGCAGTTTAAGATGACATGTAAGCCCAGCCTGTGCGTGTTTGCACGTAGAGTATCCCTATGTGTGTATGTACACAACAGTATATGGGAAACATAACCAATCATGCACAATATGGTCTATTTCCAAGTCCTACTGTCAAACCATTTGCTCATCCAGGGCCATTTTTAATTGACTTTGGAATTAATAGCTGGGAACAGGATGGAATAATATACTGTTATCCTTTCTCTGGCTCTAATCTCAGTTCTCATAGGAAGCAAAATATTCACAATTTGGCCAAGACAAAATGTACTGATTGAACCAATGTTCCAATGAACATCCCCAAAGCAGAACAAATAAACTGCCACAAAGAGGAGCCCGGCTCACTGCAAGATCCCCAGTTTGCTAAACCAGCTACTAGAAAGTCACAAATCATTGTGTCACGTACTATCACATTTGGTGAACATGTGGTAAAGCTAAGGCCTATTGGAGAAAGATACATATGTGGTTAGAAAAAATATTGGGTGAACAAGTTCATTTTAAACCTGAACTTTTTTTACTAGGTATTATGTCTGAAAAGACTAATAAGCAGAAATTATATTTAATCTTACACATCACCACAGCAGCGAGAATAATTTTTGCACAATACTGAAAGAATGAAGGATTGCCATCAGAAGAAGAAATAATCAGGGAAATATTGGAATGTGCAGAGATGGACAGATTAACTATGAGGTTGAAAGATAAAGAAGATACAGACTATTATCAAATTTGGGACTTATTTTATTGTTGGCTAAAGAATGAAGAATTAGGAATTGAACATGAATTCCAGACAACTCATTGATTGGAAAAATTAACATATGTTTATGGGGGGGGGAAAACAATAAAATCTTTATAAAAAAAACGAAAGAAGAAAGTCACAAATCATTGCGGACTCCCTTATTTTATCAAAGGAAAGTGGGGAGTTGATTAATTTCCTCCCATTATAGACCAAAGGCCCTTGTGACATTAAAAGGCACCGCAGCATTAACAACTGCGGCAGCCAAAAGCTTTATATCTATGGAAATCAGACATTGGAAGAGTCCATAAATACTGTTATTTCTCCTAATCGAGACAAAAGCAAAGGCTGTGTAATGAACAACACAATGTTTTAGATGCATTGCCTTCAAGGCTGCAAGCCAGCTGTGGTTCCCTTTCATGTATTCATTATTCCTTCTTTAGCTTAATTTTGTTTTTCTCTTCTGGAGGAGATGCCTTTTCTCTCCCCCCCCCATTTCTTTTTTTTCCCTACTAAGCATGTGGATAACACACAAACACATACAAAGGCACACACACACACACATGAATGACTGGATCAAACTATAAACTCATAAAACATACAGGATGTTCATAGGATAGAGCTCTCTTCTTGATGACCGTATGGATGATTGGATTCCAGGGAGCGAAGCATTGCCATCTGGCCTGATGGTGGTCCTCCTGCATCCTCTCCAGAATGTTGGATATTTACAGCTCCTGGCTATTTCAAGAGAGCCTTGGGCTGAAATTTGTCCTCCTTTCCCTCACCCGTTCCTATTCAATGGGATGAAGGAGGATTTGCTTTCGAAAGTTCTTCCAAAGATGTGGAGGTAGAGGAGTTTTCCTGAGTGGATTTCAACATCCTTCCACTTAAATAAGGATGAGATATTTGAAGAGTGACCATTAAGGTCAGCTCATCCATTATACCATCGTCCCTCCAGCCATAAGCCTCCTCTCTGTATCCCAATGTTTCCATCCCATGCCAGAAGAAGCCATCAGGAGGAACATCTACTAGGAAGCTTACAGAGCAGCAGTACTTGTCTCTGTGTCTTATCCTCAAAAAAAAAAAAAAAAAAAAATGGAATCTGGCCTGATTGTTGATAGGCTTCGATCCACTGGAGTTATTGTCCCCATCAGCTTTTGGGTGGAAATAAGTGACAATTTATTAAGATCAGACAACACAGAAGTAAACTTCATGAAACCAAATAGCAGTTTAAGACAATCTGTAAGGTGGGATTGATTGATTGATTGATTGATTGAATGATTGGTTTGTAAAATTTGTTAGCTATTCATCTTACCACATGGTAACTCTGGGCAGCTTACAGTATTAAATTGCAATATTCAATGATAAAACAGTATAAAAGCTAATAAATGATATAAATACATTATATAAAAAAGTCAACCTAGCTAAAAAATGGAGAGGAAGGGAGGGAGTAGGATGGAGAGGGGGTGGGATTCTGTAGTTAATCTATCAACAACCTCCAATGTGAAAGCCCTCTGTTGGAGCCTCAAACTAACTAGCAGAGCTCTTAGGGAAGGTAAAGAGGGTTGGAGATGACCTCACTTGGGGCGGTTGACCTCACTCTTACTCCCCTCACTCAGGGTGGGGGGTTAAGATGTTCCAAAGGGCAGACAAGTCTCTTCCTCAAAGAAGAAACTACATTTTCAGATTCAGCGAACTGATACTTGCAAAAATTAACAGTAGTGGGTTTCAGATTGTAGACCATCTTGCCACTGAAGATGCCAGCCACAGTTGCCAGTAAAACCTCAGAAATTTGTTGCCTAGTCCACAATCTCTAAACCTTGAAGTCCAACAATGCCCACCAGATGCCAACTGTGAAAACCTATACCAGTATATTGGAAAGGATCGTATTGAATTGAATTGAACTTTATTTGGCCAAGTGTGATTCGACACACAAGCCATTTGTCCTCACTACAGAAGCACTCAGTGTACATGCAAACCAACAGAGTAATAATAATTATAAGGATACTGATAAAAGGATGTGGTAGAGAAGAGAAGGATAGTAATGATACAGCCATACCACTTGGATAAATATACTTAGACATAAGACATAAGACTGTGGGAATTAGGTGTTCAGCAGAGTGATGGCGTGGGGAAAAAACTGCCCCTGTGTCTAATTGTTTGGGCATGCAATGCCCTATAGTGGTGTCCCGAGGGGTGGAGTTGAAACAGTTTATGTCCAGGATGTGAGGAGTCTGTAACTATCTTCTCAGCCCACCTTCTGACCCATGCAATGTACAGGCCTTTTACGGAAGGCAGGCTGGTTGCAACTGTTCTTTCTGCCGTCTTAACTATCCGTTCGAGTCCGTACCTGTTTTGTTTGGTTGCGGTACCAAACCAGAAGTTCTAGCAGATTTACTATTTAATAATGTATTTGATATTTATTTAAGAATTACTAGTTCTGGTAATTATTACAGACAAGACGGAAGATGTGTTACAGAGAAGAAAACGGATACATCAGGCCACGTGTCTCACCATTTGCAACCAGCATGACCCCATATAGATCAAGGCATCAAGTGAGTCAAATGCTCTTGTAAGATCAATACAGTCTCCAGGTCACCGACGGGAATGAGTAATGCCATCAGGAAAGTACACAGGCCCTGCTTTGACGCAAACCTTTGCTCACAGATTAAAAAAGAGAAGGGGGGGGGGTAAACAGCCTTTTCTGCAGAGAAAATCCTTCATGCCAGCTGTTCTCCAAAGCTTCTTAAAAAGAGAGGACATTCTCCTCCTTTGCCCAGCACATACATCAATTCCTGTGATCCAAGCCTTCCATCCACTTTTCATGTGGACACCATCGTTCTATTGCTCGCTGCAAACATGTTTGATCAGCATAACAAGGGATGTGGGGCTTCCTCCACAATTTTGTAATCTTGGCAAATATATTGCCCCAGTTATGGAACATAAAGAGAACGGCCCCCATCCTAAAAAAAAAATCTTAATGCTCTTGAAATGGAAATCCAAGTCTCTGGATCCAGTTGGGTTCCACACCCTCAGGTTCAAGGGGATGCTGAAAGCTTTGCTTCATAGCAGTCTCACAATTCAGGGGGGTCTTCAAACCTGGCCCTTTTATGACTTGTGGACTTCAACTCCCAGAATTCCTCAGCCAGGCACACTGGCTGAGGAATTCTGGGAATTGAAGTCCACAAGTCATAAAAAGGCCAGGTTTGAAGATACCCCTGGTCTAGCACAAGGTTGGGCAATTAATCCTGGCTTACTCTTGAAATAGACCCTGCAGCATCTGGATGAGAGGAATAAAAATTATCCCAGCTGGGACACAAACACCACATTGAACCACTTTCAAATCCTTCAGTATTGCATTGGTTCTGATTTACGAAACAACAGAAGAGATTTTTAAAAGGGGGGGGAAATGATGCTTTTCCTGTATCTATTAGCACAAACCAAACTGAAAAACAAAATTAATGCAATTCAAGTGAAATAAAATTATATAAAGTCACTTGGGGGGAGAAAACTGAGTCAAATGGTTTTCTACTTGGCCCAGCAGAGTTTTACTAATGTAATTACTGCGTCGATTAGTTTGGCAAACTGTTTTCTTCAGGAAAGGAGAAGTCATTTGAACTCAACACACTTGCCGAGTTGGCTTTCAGAGGGGCAGGGGGTAAGAATAGCAGCAAATCTATTTTCACGTAGGGAAAAATGTTCAACATTTAACCACATGGGACACAAACCAAGGACAAGAAATTTCTCCAATCTATTGTGAAGCATAAAGAAAGAATATCTACACTCATCTGTTTCAAATATTAAGGGAGTGGCCTTAGTAGGTTTTGGGGTTTTTTTCTGATTTCATTGTGCGGTTGTTTTGTTTGTTTTTGCTTGTATAAAGGACAATTTGACTCCCAGCTAAATCCACTCATTCTGCCTGGGAAGCTACAGACTATTGCAGAGAGACTTATCCAGAAAATTTCATCACTGGGTCCAAATCCTTTTCTCCCTTTTAAGAAAATTCAAAAGCAAATTCTCTTTCATTCAGCTAAGTGAGAATTGATAGCCCAAAATGCAAAATTGCTCGGGATATCACTATGAAATCCAGTGGCTGCTGGTTGCTGAAATGATGCAGTTTGAAATTTGCATTAAATTTCCCAAACTTGGTTGTATGTCTAGATGCAGGTGAATGAATTTGGTTCTGTGGTCCTGCCTGAACTCCCTGACATATACAGTGGCTATGTTTACGCAAGATTCTTAACCAGGTCTGTGTCAGGCCAACTTGCTGAATGCATGCCACAAGCTAAATTTAGTTCGTTTTAACTTTGATGAAATTGCATATGCCTGCATGTGTGCTAACGTGGTGCTTATTTCATGATTCCACATTGAGCAAACCCCCAGAAAATAGACTAAACAATAACCAAATCAAGTGTGGGGTGATCATAACAAAAATAATCCTTTCAAACAAATGTGTAAAAATAATTGATAGATAATATAACATGTGGAAACCATGCCTGAAAGCCTATGGATTCTATAGCTTCCATTTGGTAAGATTTAATTTTTCTGGTTCATCTGCCCAACCATTGTACTGTATTAATCCTACCCCCAGCCATCTGTCAATTAAAAAAACCATTCAAATTGTGGTTCCGTCACATGTGTGTAGCGAGAATCCTCCCATCTCAGCACTTCTTAAATAGATTGGGGGAAGACTTAGGTAAGCTTGATCTAGAATGAGAAATATAGAGAACCAATTCAGCTAGCCGTCTTCTGCTTGTTCAGTTTTACCTCTCCATACTTCCACCCAGGAATGAAAGCAGGTAATGAAATTAAAAACTAAGTAGATAATCGGGAAAGCCACGTCACCACCTTCCCAGTTCCTTAAGACAGAGGTCTCCAACCTTTTGGGCATAAGGACCGGTTTTGTGGAGAGAGGTTTTTCCGTGGACCAGAGGATGTGTGATTTTGTGTGCTGCCTGCATCCCATGGAAGGGGCTTTGCTTGTTTGTGCAGACCGGTTGCTGGCATGCTGCGACCCAGTACCGGTCCATGGACCAGGGGTTGGGGACCCCTGCCTTAAGAGACAGAAGACTCACCCAGCATTCCTTTGTTGGAACTTGATAAACACATATCCTTTTCAGCGCTGGGCAAGACAAAACCAACCACGAAGACTTCCGCTCCATCCGCCATCAGGGCCAAGCCCAGCACAATGAAAAGCATCCATTGGAATCGTCCATGGCCGCACTCCACAATGATATTCTCATACTGATGGGCCAATTGCTCTTCATCTTCCATTTTTTCTGCTATTAGCTCGTCATGATCTCTGAACTCATTGGACAGACCGGCTTTCTTCTGCTTAGGTTTGTCATCTGGGTGAGGAATGCCCTGGTACTCTCCTTCGTAGACTTCATCGTCTTCATCATGGCCTTCGGTAGCATCGCTCTGAGCATCTTCTTCCTGATTGGGCTCCCCCCCAGTTTGATAGGCTGGGTCGTTGGGAGCATAACCTGTGTAGCCACCATCCTGGTAGCGATAGTCATCAAAGCCATGTCTCCCCTGATTTCTATGGCCATCATCCATTTTGAGCAAATAGGTCTGGCTGGACAGTTATATTTATCAGTGTTTGTACAGTGTCCGTGTAAGTGGATATATTTTAATCTGTTCAGTTAACTACATGGGCATAACTGCCCCTTTCTTTGAAGATGTGCTTTATGTGTGATCAAAGCACCACAATTTAGATGAAACTTCAATTAAGGAATTGTATCCTTCCTAAAAAAGCATGCCATGATATTTTAGCTCTGCCTTTTCATGTCTTCTGAAGGCTTCAGCTGTCAAGCGATGTTGGGGGAAGAAAATCAAGGGATCAGCCACTTTTCTCATCAGGCACTAGTGAGTCTTGGTAGATTGTTTGCTTTCACAGTCCATCTTCCTGTGGAAAGTCAGATCCTAGAGAAGAAAAAGGAGAAAAAAAATACACAATTAAATGCTTTGAAAGGCAGAGAAAGGTCATGTCGTGGTATAATTTTCTGACATATTTCTTTCACAAAACCTTCCTGGCAGAATAATACCAAAGGAATTTCAAGAAAAGACTTTCAATTCATCTGGAAACATTTTATGGAAGGGGAGAAAAGGGCAGCTAAATATAGGGACCACATATAAATATATATATGTGGTCCCTAAAATGTCTTTGTGTATTCCATTTATATTCCATATTTTGTTCAGATGCTCAGGCTTGGCTAGTCCTCCATCCTCTTCCTCTAAGGCACAATTCAGTTTGAAACACAGTATCAATCCGGAGTGAAGCAGGAATCAAGATGACTAAAAACATAGTTAGAAAACTAACATGTTGTTCCCAGCAATGCCTCCATTTGTCTACTATGATAAATAGCCAGCTTCTGGTGCAACCCATCAAGACAGGCAGAGCCCTCTCCTCTCAAGTAATCTCTGCCCTATGTGTTCTTGGATCAGGCAGTTCTTCCTCCTCTTCACTGGCCATCTGCCACTGTAAGCTTTCCCTAACTGGAGCCTCAGCCAAATCTCTTCTGGCCAGAGCTATCAATCAACTCAGTTTCTGAGTGCCAGGAATTGGCTCATCCTCCCCCGAGCTGACATCTGAGGAGGTATCTGAGGAATCATTCAAGGGAGACATCACTGTTTCTGCCTTTCAATGGAGCAACATTTAAATTTACATATTATCCTAATTTGAAGGTCTATTACAAGTCCCACAATGGAGGAAGCACCTTTGAAACATTAGAGACACATAAGCTTTGCAAAGGGAAAGAAAATGGGGAAGTGGTTGGGATTTTCCAGAAGTATGAGCTTTACCAATTCTCCACTTATACCGATCTCTGGCATTGCCATAAGCAACCCATACAATAAAACAGAATCAGTTTTCTTATAGGTCTGCATTTTAATTGCTTTTTTGACATTCTTTCACACATGTAATTGTGCATTCCTATTCTCTTGCATTCTCTGCCACACATAATTGTGCATTCCTATTGCATTCCCAGGATCCCGGAGTCCCCAAAATCATGAATTTCAATCAGGATGGCAAACAAACCTTGGAAGTGAATTGCTCAGAAAACCAATGAAAACCAACAGAGTTTTGGAAAGACAGAGACACAAAAAAATTTATAGCTCTGACTTTCAAGATTTCCTTTCTCTTTCTCTGTGGGGAAGGGAGCATTAGCTAATGAGCCGTGATTTTCAATTCCACTTGAAAGAATAGTCATCTTCTGGATCCTGTTACAGAGCTTCAGGCCATCCTCTCCATTTCAATGACATGGAGGAAAAGGCACAAACAGTCTATTTTGACTCAGCATTTGCAGCATTGCACTGAAATGCACTCACGTCCATTATGAGTCTTGCAGAAAACAGTGTGAGCTGCAGCTCACTTTATTTAAGCATCTGATGAAGGGAGCTACAGCCCATGGAAACTGGTCAGTAGTGGAATTCAAATATGTGAACAACCGGTTCTGAAGTCCATTCTGGGCCTGGGCAACAAAAAATTAGCTACCAGTTCTCCCGAACTGGTGCAAACTGGCTGAATCCCACCACTGAAACCGGTGCCTTTTTATAAAATGTGTCAGTTTTAAAAGTTACTGTCAGACTCCTCCCAATCTCTTGCCTTTCCTGTTCCTAGCACTGACTCCTCACCAGAAGTATTTTTGCATACTTCTGTGGATACATCTGATTGCTAAAAAATAAAAATTAAAAAAAATCTAGCAGTTCATTACTGTGATGCATTTAAAGAGATAAAGCTACACTGAAAGGAATCAGTTGCAAGGTGACATTCCGGTGGCCTTTGCAAAAATCAAATCTGTACTTTAAACAGATGGTTCGGTGGCGGTGGGGATGCTTGTGATTTTAAAAGTGAGGCAATGTCTCAAAATCCATGTGATTTTTTTGGAACAAAAACTGCAAAAAAAAAAAAAAAGCCAATTGTGTCATTGGAAAGCTGGATCAGATTGTTTGGGGGTTTTTTTAGAGACACACCCCCATTGCAAGGGAGAGACTTTTTCTACTTTTCATCTTTGCTTCTCTCTCCAGGAAGATATGCAAAGTAATAATGCTCATTAACATCTAGAGTGAGAAAAAAAGGAGTCTCAGTCCCTGCTTTGAGTGAGAATCTTTACTCAAAATCTCTACGAAGCAGCACAAGAAATCTAATATTTCGATTATAAATCTAATAACAGTTTGGTCTACTGGTGAAGGCACCAGGCTATAAACTGGGAGACAGTGAGTTCTAGTCTTAGCCGTAAAAGCCAAATAGGTGACTTTGGGCCAATCATCAAGAGACTCTGAGTTCTAGTCTCACTTTGGCCATGAAGGCTGACTGGGTGACTTTGAACCGATCACCATGAGATGGTGAGTTCCAGTCCCACATTAGTCATGAAAGCCGGTTAGGTGACTTTGGGCCAGTCACGTTCTCTCAGCCCAGCCCAGCCCATAGGGTTGTCGTTGTGGGGAAAATAGGAGGAGGAAGGAGTATTAAGTATGTTCCCCACTTTGAGTCATTTATAAAAATAATAAAGGCAGGATATAAATGAATAAATAGATTTCAATATAAAACATTTGGTACCAAAGAAAAATACACATAAAATATACACACATGAACAAAATGCTTAAAAACAAACCAGGGCTAAAAAAATTCATACCGAATAGATCTGGTATGTTTCCAAAAATAAGCATGGTTAAGGCCGTTTGTAACTCCAAGACTAAGTGATTGCCTGACCGAGATGCCACAACATTCATAGAGGGCCTTTGAACATTGTACATCACCCAGAATCACTTATTTGTGAGACGGACAACTCTACAAATTAGATGAATACATAAATAAATATCTTCCTTGCCATCTCACTGTCAATCAGCAGATGGCTGGAGGTTTTTTGTTTTTTGTTGCTTTTCTGATTGCAGATGGAATGCTAATGCATGCACAAATGCATGCACAAACATTCCTTGGTATCAGCTTCACTACTCCTAACTTGTAATCTTTCAACTAAATTATAAAAAGCTTCTTTGAATCCTCTGCAGAGAGAGGATTCACTATCAAGGCTAATATTGAAGGCATTCACACAGTTGTTCACTCAAACCTAGACACAGGGAATATAGATTTAATATTTGCAGGCTAAGGCACTGAATATTTTCATTATTTCAGTCAGAGTGATTCTTTTTTTAAAAAAAAAAATCAACTCCTAATATTCCAAGAGGGCTTGAAAAGAAAAGAAATAAAATGACAAACGTGGTGTTCCAAGCTGCAGGAAATCCCAGTGGGGCTTATTAGGTGATCTACCTGTAGATCCTATGCTAGGAGCTAAAAGGCAACTGAAAGTCATTGTAATGACAGGAACAGATGCTGCCAGGCTGATTTCAGCACCAAGGCCAGCACGCACTCAGATTGAGAGACCCAGACAGACTAGTACCAAGATAGGACAGGTAATCCTTGATTTAAGACTACAAGTAAGCCCAACATTTCTGTTGCTAAATGAGACCTTTGTTAAGTTAGTGTTGCCCTATTTTACGACTTTTCTTGCCAGAGTTCTTAAGTGGATCGCTGCAGTTCTTAAGTCAGTAACCAGATGGTTAAGTGAATCTGGCTTCTCCATTGACTTTGCTTGTCAGACGGTCGCCAAAGGGGATCACATGTTCCCAGGACACTGCATAACTGTCATGAGTATGAGTCAGTTGCCAAGCGCCTGATTTTTGATCACATGACCATGAGGTTGCTGCAACGGTTTCAAGTGTGAAAAATAGTCATAAGTCCCCCTTTTTTAGCGCCGTTGTAACTTTGGATTGTCACTAAGTGAACTGTTGTAAGTTGAGGACTATCTGCATTCACCTATTCACAAAGGCCAAGGAAAACGCGTGGGTTTTTTTGCAAAACAGAAAATCCAGACCAGAAAGAGGGAAAAAAAATGCAGCTCCATTTCTGCAGAAATCCATGCAGCCACTGACCCCATGAATTATTTAAAGAAACCGTTTTCCTGCCAATTTTATTGTTGCAAAGCTTTCCTTCGCCTGCACGGGTAAAAGGGCAAATGATGCTATTGCCTCATTAACAGGCATCTGTTTTCTCCAAGGAAAAGTGAGCAGACCTGAGAGTGAGCAATTTATTCCTATGAATAACTGGGGGGAGGAGTTACTTCCAATCTCAACAAGGTTTGCTATTTTAAAAAGAGAAAACAGCACTGTAATTGCTGAGGAAGTTATACATGCTTCTATGTTTCTACTAAAGTCTATTGAAAATAGCTAATTTTGAGATAGGTTTTTTTTTTTAGAGAAGAAAATAAAAATTTCTCAAATTGGTAAGTCTGCCCCTGTGATTTCTGAATAATCCTGTTTTCCTTTCTGAAATTCCTACTAACTGTAGTTGAATGTTTATAGAATAATCTATAAACATTAGAATATTCTAACACAGAATATTAGAATTGGAAGGGACCTTGGAGGTCTTCTAGTCCAACCCCCTGCTCAAGCAGGAGACCCTATATCATTTCAGACGAAGGGAATGGGCAAGAAATTTGAGGTGCTCAATCCTGCAAGAGAAATCTATCTACACTGGCCATGTTCAAACACATTTTCAAGGATTATTGTTCAAAATTCATCTTATCTGAGTTTCGCATTACATTTTCCAGTGAACAGGTTTTAGTGGAAAGTTGGCTTGTGAATAGGGGTGTCTGCAGGATGTGGCAGACTGCAACTGTGCAATAAAAGGTCTGCCTGGATTTCATGTATCTGTGCAGGGAAGGGATTTAAAAAAGGGGGGATCAGGGCTTTGACTGTATGGCTATAATTGTCGTCGTGCCTTTTTGATACCTCTTCTCTGTGAACCCCCCCCCACACACACACTTCCATTATTAAGGTTACATAATGGCCAATATTTGGAAAACTGACTTTACTATTAGCACGGTTGAATGATAAGGTATATGATCTCAGCTGAGATTTAACTC